ATCATCAAAGCCCTCAAGGAACCAGCAAGAGACAGAAAGAAACAGAAAAACATTAAACACAGCAGGAATATCACTTTCAATGAGATTGTCAACATTGTTCAACAGATATGGCACCTATCTTTAGCCAGAGAACTTTCTGGAATCACAAAGAAATCTGGGGGACTGCCCAGTCTGTGGGCTGTAATGTTGATGGCTGCCACCCTCATGACATCATAGATGACATCAGCAGTGGTGCTGTGGAATGTCCAGCTAGTTAATAGGCACAAAGGAAAATATTTCAATAAAGGATAGTTTAACAACTGGAAAAAAATTTAAAAAATAATAAATAAAAGAAAAACAGGCATCAGGCATCTTGGCGCAGGCAGTTAATTTTGGGAGTACATATCCATGCACCCATCATTCAGAAGCCCTGCAGTTTAGAGAAAGCAATGTGAAAGGGGGACAGTGACACAAGACAAAAGGAAGTCAGAGAGTGGTGCTTTTTGATCATCCTGACTCACCAGCCCATGGGGAGAACCCCAGGCTCCCCCTCTTCCATCCCTACCATCAGACCCCTGTCTGGTTCATTCCTCTAGTGTTTCCAGTCTGGGAGATACTAAAGGGACACAGGACATTACTTGACTCTATTTATCTCATCCATCTGTTCTTGCAGAGCTGTCTCACAAGGCTACCCCAATGGGTTCCCCCCTTTAAGGCTCTGAAACTCAGCTCTTCCAGACCATGAGGAAGCCAGGCCTTGAAGATAATTCCATCCTCCTCTCACAGTCACATGGCACAGGTCACCCACAGGATGTCCCCAGCTAACCTAACCCAGAGAACCCAATCCAGCCCTCGGCTCATTCTCTGAAACCTGCCCTGGGGAAAGCCTGCTTCTCTGATGGCTCCTGAGCCATCCTGATGTCTGATCCAGGTGAATCCAACAGCTTTCTCTTCCTACTCATCACAGTGCTCTGATCTTCCAGCCTCCAGAGCAAGCCATAGCCTGCCTTTACATGAACATTTGCATATAAAAACCCCACATTTACATTGTATAACTTAGGCTCCTGGGAAACAGGTCAGAGTTCAGCACCCACAATCTACTAGTGGGGAAAGAAGCATTCATCTGTGCAACCCCCATCAAAAATGTGTAGGAGGGTGTCAGGGAGTATGCTGCATGTGTCCACGAAGCTGTGTGTCCAGGAGGGGACTGTGAGCATCCTGCATCCAAGAAGGTCCATGTATGTATCTGGCTCAGGTGTGGCCTCCATCTGGCCTGTTGATGCACCTTCAAAGTGTCTGCATGTCTGTGAGTCTGTTTGGGGTGTCCTCAGTCTGAGTCTGTTGTGGGTGCCCTTAGGGTAGAGGTGTATTTGTGAGGGCTCTGTTTCCTCATCTGTAAAATGGGAATGACAATCCTAATACTTACCTCATGGGCTCATTGTGAGGCTGCATGGGTTAATGCAGGTCATGCACTTACAGCAGGGCATGGCTCAGTACATGTTGGTTATTGTGATGTGATTCCCAACAGAAACCTCCAGCTCCTCTATTCCCTCCTCCCCAACTACTTCCAGTGGTGTAAGAGGCAAATGTTCCCCTTGGAAATATCACTGCTCTGAGCCTGGACGTTCAATCAGAGGTCAGTGACAGCAACGGTATCTTCTCTTAGCCTGAAGGAGGAAGGCTCCTCAGCCTCTGCCAGGGCTGGGGAGGATTGGGAATGGGGCAGGGGCACTTACTCACCAGGGAGACAGGGGCCCTCCAGAAGAATATAAGAACTCAGAACCAGCAGCCTGGGCAACATAGTGAGACCCTGTCTCTATAAAAACCACAACAGACACACACACACACACACACACACACACACACACACACACTAGCCAGGCATGATAGTGCATGCCTGTAGTCCCAGCTGCTTGGGAGGCTGAGGTGGGAGGATTGCTTGAAGCCAAGAGTTCGAGGCTACAGTGAACTATGATGGCACCACTGCACTCCAACCTGGGTAACACAGGGAGACCCTCTTGTTTCTCAAAAAAACACAAAAAAGGCCGGGCGCAGTGTCTCACGCCCGTAATCCCAGCACTTTGGGGGCTAAGGCAGGTGGATCACCTGAGGTCAGGAGTTCAAGACCAGGCTGACCAACATAGTGAAACCCCGTCTCTACTAAACATACAAAAAATTAGCCAGGGCTGGTGGCAGGCACTTGTAATCCCAGCTACTTGGGAGGCTGAGGCAGGAGAATTGCTTGAACGTGGGAGGTGGAGATTGCAGTGAGCCGAGATGGAGCCACTGCATTCCAGCCTGAGCGACAAGAGTGAAACTCTGTCAAAAGCAAAACAAAACAAACAAAAACTCAGAGCTGGAGGGACCCTGGAACCCCTAGACAGGCCCCACGCCACGAAGTGCCCAGTACCAACTTAAAGACCCACTGGACTCTTCTTCATTGTCATGGAGACCACATCGGAGCTGCCTTCAGGAAGAACCCTGTCCTCCTCCCCACTTCTCTTGGCCAGAGCTCACGCTCTTCTCTAAACTGGTTCCATCCAGCCCAAAGCTGGGATTTGCTTGGGCTTGTCTCTTCTTCCTTGGGCAGGATTCCTGCTAAGCTCAATTAGTTTGGTCTGTACTGTACCTATTCGCTACACAAGCATTTCATGCCACCCTCATGAGCATGAAAACAGGCTGAGGAGGACTTACAGAGGCAAATGAGCTCTGGAGAGCTCTCCGTACATAAGGTTGTCTATATCATGAGGCAGAGTAAAAAATATCCATGCCAGAGATATAGTCAAGAATGTTGTGTGGGGCTAAAGGAACTGATTCAGGCTATCATGGAAGGCTTCCTGGAGGAAAGGGACAATAGATATGAGCCTTATAGAATATTACAGCAGAGGTGGGCACAGTGGCTCGTGCCTGTAATCCCAGCACTTTGGGAGGCTGAGGAGGGGCGGATCATCTGAGGTTCAGAGTTCGAGACCAGCCTGACCAACATGGAAAAACTCTGTCTCTACTGAAAAATACAAAATTAGCTGGGCGTAGTGGCTACCCGGGATGCTGAGGCAGGAGAATTGCTTGAACCCGGGAGGGGGAGGTTGCAGTGAGCTGAGATCAAAAGACTAAAACTTCATCTAAAAAAAAAAAAAAAAAGAACATTACGGCAGAGAAGAAAGGGAAGTTTATTTTCATTTGCCCAAGCTGATCTCATGGAATGAGCCCTAAACAACAATTTTGTGTTTTAGCCCCAGTTCTGGCCAGATAGGCACAAAGATGCTTATATGTGTCATTTCCTTCTCTGAAACTCCACCGCCTCATCTGTAAAGTGGTGGGTGTTAAGTTAGATGAATTTGGGAAGCTACTGCTACTGGCCTGGTGTTTCAACATTATTTTGTGTTTATCACAAACAGGCAGGACGCAAAGTCAGGCTGTCCTCAAAGGAGTACATAGGCTGAAGAGACAGAGAATTGTCTCAGAAAAAAGGTCTTTGAGGATTCATGTCCTGTGTGCCCTATGGCCACAGGCCAAATAGCCCAGCTCCCCTCAGATGTCTGTCTTGTTCATAGCTGCTTGCCTGGCACCTAGCACTGTATCTGACACAATAAATGTTTATTGAAAGAAGTGGTGAATGGATGAGATGACAGAAACTTCAACCAGCTTCTGAGCCAAACTGAAAACCATCCTGCCCCCAGATCATCAGAGCCTTTGGGGTTTTTGCTCCTGCTCCTTTTGCTGCTGTCAGTTAAGAGGGAAGATGGCTGAGAGGAAGCTACACTTTCAGAAATCATCTACCCTGAGGCCTCTAGTTTCTGCTGCAATCAATAGAAAGTGGGTCACAAAACAGATCTGCAGAGAACAGGCCTTTGAGGACAAGCCTGGATTCTGTGCCAGTTTACATTTATTGATCACCTACTATGTATCAGCTGTCACATAGCTTAACTCATTTAATCATGGCTTCAGAGGGCTCTACAGGAGAGTGTGAGGTACTAAATCCCTGAAGTGCTGACTAGCTGAGTTACCTCAGGCGAGTTACCATCTCTTTCTGATCTTTCATTTTTAGTATCTGTAAGATACAAACTATCCAATTCGTCGGTTTATGGGAACGAAATGAGCACGTGGAAGCGGAGCGCTTCATAAATGCTAGTTATTATCGTTCCTCTGGGCACACAAGCCCGGTCGCCTCCCCCCTGGGCGCACACAAACATGTACACGCAGATGCAGGGACGTGTGCAGACGCCAGCCGGAGGAGTTCGCGGCGCCTCAGACCCAAGGTCTTGGCGGAGACCGTGGAGAAGCCGCGGGGTCCTCGGCTTCTCTCCTTTTCTCTCGGTTCTGATGAATGAACTCCGGCCGGGAGTTTATTTTTTATGAATGGGAGCTGGCTCAGTGAATGAAGCCGGGAGCCAACCCCTACATTCTGATTGGCCCCCGCGGCTGGGAAACTCCGCCCCCTGGCTAGGCCGGGCGACTCTCCGGATTGGCGGGCGTGCCCAGCCCCGGGGTTCCATTCACAAAAGTCAATGAAACAAAGGGAACCGGGTTGGGGGGAGAGAGAGTCGAGGCCGAGCAAAGGAAATGCACCAATCAGCTGCTCCCCCGGACTCACAACTGTCTGCGGCGCCCGAAAAACAAGTCGGTGCGCTGGGGACCCGAGGCAGGGGCCGCCTTGCTCCGGCCTAGCCCCGCGGCACTCGGTGCTGGCCCCAGGGCATGCTCGGAACCCTTCGCGGCTCCAGCCCAGACGCCCCGGCCTCAGGTGAGGCTGCGGGAGGGAGAGGGAGGGAGAGTGTCTGCGATTCCCCGCCTCGCCTCCCACGCACACCACACTTACTCTCACCGCCCGCCTCCGCAGATTCCAGGCGGGGGTGGGAGGCGCTGGGATTCGGGGTTGGAGGGGGCGCGGGAGTTGTGGGCATGCGATGGTGTGCGCCTCTCCTGCTCCTCCGTGCTCGCACGCGCGCGCACACGCGAGCGCGCACACACACACACGCACACACACACACACGCGCGCGCGCGCACACACACACACACACACACACACACACACACACGTCTTATGTAACCGGGCCCCGATAGAGCAGGGCTCCAGAAAGCAGAAACGGCGAGCCCGGCTCCCAGGAGCAGGTGGGACCTCCTTTGGCCTTTGGCGGGAGGGGAGTGGTGTTGGCGCTCGGCCTGGCAGGCGGAAACCTCCCCATCGCCCCAGTGAGTCGGAGAAGTTTCGCTGTCGGACTCAGAGCCTCGGGACTGCCCCCTCCCGCCACCCCTCCCCGCCCCCATCGCAGCCCTCCCTGGACGGTGTGCGAACGCAGTCCCCTCCCCCCCCAGGTCTCGGCCCCCGCTAGGGGCCCCGGCCTTGCGGCCGGAGGGAGCGGCCGGATGGAGCGGAGGATGAAAGGCGGATACTTGGACCAGCAAGTGCCCTACACCTTCAGCAGCGTGAGCGCCGCGCCGGCCTCCACGCCCGCCCCGCCCCGCACCCAGCCCCTACTCTCACCACAGCCCTCCTCCCCGCCGTCCCAGAGGAGTCCTGGGCTGCCCCGCCCCTGAGCCACCCGGGGACCCCAACCTCGTCCCCCAGACTAGGCGCCTCGGGGTGACTTGGGGGCATTCTCCCCTTCTCTCAGAAATCGCCCGGAAATGGGAGTCTGCGCGAAACGCTGATGGTCCCGCAGGGGAAGCTCATGGACCCGGGCTCCCTGCCTCCCTCCGACTCCGAAGGTAAAGAGCAAAAGACACAAACCGCGACCGTCCTACACACACACACACACACACACACACACACACACACACACACACACACCGGCCGATCCTGGAACCCCCGCTTGTTTCCCCAAAAAACTCGCCCTCCAAGGGAACCTGGTCATTCTTCTTGGTCCCTACTCACAAGGCGGGGCGCGGGGGGCGGTTCACCGGGGCTTGCTAGGGCTCTTTCTTTCTTACTGTCCCCTCCACCTCACCTCCAATTCCACTATTTACCCCTCAGATCTCTTCCAGGATCTAAGTCACTTCCAGGAGACGTGGCTCGCTGAAGGTGAGTAGTTTTGTGACCTTTTCTATTCTGGGGGTCTGGAGAGGGGAACACCCCCTGTAGCCCCTGTTATTCCACCCTACCCCTACACTTCTCCTCTCCCTTCCCTGCCTCCAAGGCCCTCTCTCCCCAGGTTCCTTGCCACTCTACTCACCCCAGCGCCCGGTGTGGACACTTATATTGATATTTATTTTCTCTATCCTGAGCCAGGCTTGTGTAACTAGGCTTGAGGATGAATCAGACCATTGTGTGGGGTATTTGCTTATTTGAATGGAACTTGGCCCCAGGCCCATTTTCCTGGTTGAAATTTTCATTTGCAAAGTTTGTTTTGCAGAAGCCGCCAGGCCAAGGTGCGTGTTGGGGTGTCATTGTGGGGGGGGGGAGGAACAATTAATTTGTCACCTATCCTCCGGAGTTGCCAAAGCATTGATTCTTACCCCGTGAGTTTCTCTTCTTCCCAATCCTAGCACCAAACAATTTACTGTCCAAGCCAAACGCACAACAAAAGTTTAAATAATTCTTTTCGGCAGTCCTTCAGCAAGCAACGAGGGCCCTGGGCTCCCTCCCCAAATAGCCTTGATTGTAATTCTAATAGCAAGTGTACCTCCCTCCTCCATCCCACTTGAATACCTCCGCCCCCAGGCAAATTCCCCTTCCTGTGTGCTGGGGAGTCAGCTGAGAGCTGGCTGGGGTGGGGTCCGTGGCTAGGCCTGATGGGGAAGTGGTGTGTTTGAGAGGTTTCCTGGTTGGATTCATCCGTGCATTTTGGTGGGGCCTGAGGGTGTCGCTGGTGGGGCTGCAGGTGGGAGGGAAAATGGTGGTTTAGACAGCCTCTGAGAGCAAAGGGTTACTAGCCCCATCTTAGGGTTCCTTTATTTTAACGCTATGAAAATGAAGAAACCAAAACACTAAGAACTCCTTTTTGAGGTCTTTTCCTTAGGGTCTCCTCATCCCTCCACCCTGGCATCTTTCTTTGGTAATTTTTTTAAAGCTCAAATCCAACTGCCCTGGAACTCTCCGTAGAAGCTTAGAGTAAAAGGAAAATGACTCCTGACTAGATCCTTGGAGTGAGACTAGGTCTGTCTTGCCCACTACGGTATTCTAAAAAAATAGATGTCGACAGAATGACTATTTAGCATAGAGCAAGCACTCAAGACATTTTGTGGAATTAATGGCTGAATGGCAGTGTGAGTGCTGGAGGGATCTGGGGGTATTGTGTGCGTCTTCCCGACCTTGCAAGTCCTGCATGCCCAGCTCCAATTTACAGGCAGAGCTTTGCCCCATCTCCCCATCCTCCTCCCGAGGTTCCGGAGCTGGGCTAAAGCTGAACGCAGAGGTGTCAGTTTCCATGGGCTCTCAAAGACTTCCTTTCCCAGCGCCTGATTTCTCTCTGGCTCACCGGCTTCATTCCTTGCCTGTCAGCTGAGAGTCCCCACAGTGGGCAGCTCCTGGGGCTGTGAGCTAGGGGTGGGCTGAGGTTGGCATTTTGGCAGCAGCTGGTCCATCTGTGCCCGGGTTTGAGATGGGAGGGGGAGGAAAAAGCTCTCATCTCTCTATCCCTTGGCTGGGGGTCTGGAGAGGGTACGCATGTCTGTCTGTCTGTGTCAGTGTCACTGGGACAGCAAGTGTGTGAGTGTGTGTGTGTGAGAAAAAAAGTGTGTGTGTGTGTGTGTGTGTGTGTGTGTGTGTGTGTGTGTGTTAGTTACAGGCTGCTGCCCTGTACATTTAAATCCAGTGGGTGGGGAGGTGGGGGTGGGGATTGCAAGGAGGAGGGGGGGTGGGCGCTGGGATCTCCTTGGTTCCCTCTCCTTCCTTCTGAGGGAGCAGCTCAGGTTCCCAGCTGGCGATGGATGGCCAGGCCTGAGGGGGGGATGCTGAGGCCGATCGCTCCTTCTCACTTTCTCTGCGGAGACAGATGCAGCTGCCGGGGCCCTGTCCCCCTGCGCCATCCCAGCACCACCCCAGCCTCCTCTCCTGCCTCTTCCCACCAGGTCAGTGACCCCGGCAACCCATGGGGAGCTTTGGGGTGGCAGGGAGGGACTAGCTCCTTTGGAAACTTGCCAGTGGTGGGACGCATTAGGAGGAATGGGGGACCAGAGCCCAAACTCCCTCTCTCAGCTTGGTTTCTTCCAAAGCCCCAATTTGCAGAGAAGCAGCAAGGGGGTCTAGTGTGGGGGGGCTGCAAAGACTTAGCATTTGGAGGATGTACAGGTTGGAGCTGGGCAGGTATAGGGAGATTCCGATGTGGTTGCCAGTTCGCTGTCCTGTGTCCGGGCGTTGAAGGGTGAGTGTAAGTAGGGTTTTATGGAGGCAGCTCACTTTATTTGGGGTTGAGTTTTTGTAGACAGAGGGGAATGATGTGAGGCTAGGAGGGCGTGTCTGATTTGGGGGTGCCTGGGATCTGTTGAGATGTTGGGGAAAGAATCAGGCTGCTACAGTGAGACCCAGGCTCAGGCAGGCTGAGCCCAAAATGTATCTGGCTATGATAAAAGCTGTCCTGGTTGCTGGTGAAGGTTCCTTTCCAGGCTTGTCAGGAGCCCTGAAACCTTGGGGACAATGACTTCGTTGTCTATTTGGTAGTAAGGCCATTGACTCTAGGCCATGACTTCTTTGTGTGAGGCTGGGGTCTGTGGGTTGCCAGAGCCCTGGGGATGGGTTGCAGGGACTCTTGATCTCCCTGATACTGCGTGTAAAATTGCTGGAAGTGCACCATACACAAAGGTGTATGGATTTTTTTAGGAAGAGAATGACCCGTAGCTTTTATCAGATTCTCAAAGGGATCAATCTGCGCTCCCTTTTTCACTGGAATCACTACTCCCCAACCCTCTTCCAAGGGCTCCAATCCCCTTTCCCTTTGGCTTTCCCAATCATATTTGTAGCTCCAAAAAAAGATCCCATGTGCGGAGGTGTGCATAGAGGGCGTGCATGGAGGGCACATTTCACCCTGTGCTGTCGCGCTGCCACAAGAGTGAAGTGAAAGGAATTAGGGTGTGTGCATCCCTGAATGCGTGTCCATGTGTGTGTACACTGGTGCTTCAGCATGTCTGTGGGGAGAGAAATCCCCTCCCGAGTCTTTACCAGCTACAATGCCTCCTTCTCCCTCTTTCTGTCTCTTCCCCTTCCAGAAGACTCCTGGGGACAAATATGTCCCCTCCACAACTAGACAACTGGTTCCTTCCAGTACAGAGGCTGCCAGGGTGGGGGCAGGGTAAGGGACAGCAGTGACACAATGGAGCAGAAGCTCTGGAGAATGCGTCTATCCCCTTCACACTACAACTGGACCCTGGGCAGAGGGTGACGGGGTATATGTGGTGTGGGTGGCTAACATATGGTAGGCTTCAGTTTGTCTCTGTGTTAACCTCCCAGTTCTTCCAGAATCCAGCTTGGGAGGCCCCAGAACCCCTCCTCTTTTTTTAACCGACCCCCATTTTGACAGGAGAGTCCCTAAAATTCTCTCTCTCTAGGCATTCTGCTGTCTTGGCACTTTTCCCACCCCCTCCGTAGTCATCTGCCTCATCCTCAGACAGATAAACTCCATCTTAGTGCCAGGATGGAGCTGGGGACAGACTCTGGCACACTGTGTCATGGCAGCCAAAACTCAGCCAAGTTAACAAATAAATAGAGTGGTGTACACTCAAGACCAAACATGGTAATTAAAAATTCTCCTGCTCTCCAGGAACGCGAGGCTCGCTGTTCCTATTTCTATCCTGTTGACAGTCTCTGGATGACTGAGGGCCCTGGCCTACCCCCTTTGGGAGAAGGCCAGTGTTTGGGGGAGGAGCCGAGCAAGGACAGATTTCTCCTGGCTCTGGGAAGAGGATGGCGCCACCTCTTTTGAGGTGTGGTCTGTGTGCTTGAGGAGGCCTCCTCCTGGACTGCTGGGCTGCGGGGGTCTCTGGTTAAACTGTCAGGCACGAGGCAGGAAGAAAGGCAGGATGACGCCAAGGGCTCTCTGCTCTCCAGCGCCAGTGACGCCAGAAGGAGATACCCCCAGCCCATTACCTCAATGGAAAGTGGCAGTTAATGAAGCCCGGGGGGCCCCCCCGGAGTGCGTCAGCCACCCCTGAGTTCTGCACCACCCTTTCCCTTGGGACCTTTCTTGCCTAGTAGGAAGGAGGGAAATGTTGGTCACTCTGCTCCAGTCGCCCTCACTTCCTGCCGCCTTGGGGGATGTTGCCTCTGAGTGGACCAGAGGGCACAGCGGGAATGAGCCTGGGCTTTGCATCCCTGGGCAGGTGGACAGATTTGGCCTCCTACCCTCTGTCCAAATGTGCCTATTTTTAAGGTTGTGGTGGCTGAAGTGGGAGGATTACTTGAGCCCAGAACCTCGAGGCTACAGTGAGCTGTGATTGTGCCACTGCACTCCAGCCTGAGTGACAGAAGAGACTTTCTCATAATAGACAGATTTTTTTTTTTTTTTGAGACAGAGTCTGGCTCTGTCGCCCAGGCTTGAGTGCAATGGCACGATCTAGGCTCACTGAAACCTCTGCCTCCTGGGTTCAAGCAATTTTCCTGCCTCAGCCTCCTGAGTAGCTGGGATTACAGGTGCCTGCCACCATGCCTGGCTAATTTTTGTATTTTTTTTTTTTTTAATAGAGATGGGTTTTCACCATGTTGGTCAGGCTGGTCTTGAACTCCTGACCTCAGGTGATCCACATGAGTCGGCCTTCCCAAAGTGCTTTGATTACAGGTTTGAGCCACTGTGCCCTACCAATAAATAGATTTTAAAATGCAGATGGCTGGGTCCCACCTCAGTCCTATGGAATGGGACTCTCCCAGGAAAGGATTGGGAATCATGTTTTTATTTATTTTATTTATTTGTTTATTTATTTATTTTGAGATGGAGTTTCGCTCTTGTTGCCCAGGCTGGAAGTGCAATGGCGTGATCTCAGCTCACTGAAACCTCCGCCCCCTGGGTTCAAGTGATTCTCCTACCTCAGCCTCCCTAGTAGCTGGGATTACAAGCATGTGCCACCACGCCCAGCTAATTTTTTGTATTTTTAAGTAGAGACGGGGTTTCATCATGTTGGCCAGGATGGTCTCCATCTCCTGACCTTGTGATCTACCCACCTCGGCCTCCTAAAGTGCTGGGATTACAGGCATGAGACACCGTGCCCAGCCCTATTATTATTTTTTGAGACAGGGTCTCACTCTGTTGCCCAGGCTGGAGTGCAGTGGCGTGATCTCGGCTCATTGCAACCTCTGCCTCCCAGGTTCAAGTGATTCTCCTACCTCAGCCTCCCAAGTAGCTGGGATTACAGGCATGTGCCACCTTGCCTGGCTAATTTTTATATTTTTAGTGGAGATGCAGTTTTGGCATGTTGGCCAGGAACTCCAGACCTCAGATGATCTGCCTGCCTTGGCTTCCCAAAATGTTGTGATTACAGGCTTGAGCCACCATGCCCTGCCAGAATCGTGTTTTTAACTATGCTCTGGTGACTCCTGAATCAGGCCAGTTTGGGAATGGCTGACTTTTTGCCATGTTTGTGTTCCTGAAAAGATGTATGCCACCTGTGTGTTTCTGTTTGTTCTTGCCACTGGATTTCAGGTCTCATTGATTTCTTTGGGCACTTTAGACCAAAGTATTATTATGTTGACTTGTCCTCACTTCTCCTCTAGCTGCTGGTGGCTCCCAATTCTTAAACTCCCTCTCCCTAATCCTTCTGTCAAGAAATCAACTATCTATTAATACAAGCCTATGTTTATAAGCACTTGACATCTCTAATATTTAAAGCAAGTTGTTGAAGAATATCCTTGCCAAGCAACGTATCACAACCTAAAGTATCCCCTGTGAGATGTGCTTTCCTAGAGAGGATCTGCCCCTCTCTAGTGTTGCCTTGTGTGTGGAGAGGGGGAGCCTCCAGGGAAGGGCTAGGATGGTCAGGATCTCTTCAGTGCATGTCCCCAGGCCCACAGTGCTGACTCCTCCCAGCCTGAGGACAAACGGTTATTGCCTGTTTATTCACACAGTCAAGAAATAATGCAGCGAGTGTCTCTCTAACGTGCTGTCTACTCTGACCTGTGCTGGGTGTTGGGGAATCAGATGACAAGAGATAAATCTCTTGCCCTCATAGAGCTTAACTTCCTGGTGGAGGAGATAGATGATAGATAGATAGATAGATAGATAGATAGATAATAAACGGGTAAACATAAATTAATAAGTTCAGGTGGCAGCATGTGCCAGGTAGAAAACAAAACAGAGGCTCAATAGAGAGCCAGGAGGAACCACCCTGGTTTAGAGGTGGTCAGAGAAGGCCTCTGCAGAGATGTCAAAGTGAGCTGAGACTCTGATGGCCAGGAAAAATAGAGGAAGGCAGGAAAGTATCTGAGGAAGAAGGAACAAGCTCAGCAGGTTTGAAGCTGGAAAGGAGACCAGAGTGCTGCAGACCCAGGCAGGGAGAGGCGGGTCAGAGGTGGGCAAGACCAAGTCATGCAGAGCCTTGGAGGCCAAGGGCAAGCATTTGGATTCCATGCTTGAAATAAGAGAGAAGTGATTCCGTTTTTGTTGTAAAAAGGTCACCTTGGCAGCTAGGTGGAGAGCAAGGGACTACAGGAGGTAAGAGTAGGGTATTCTAATAAGAGGCTGTGGCTGAAATCCAAGTAAGAAACGATGGAACCTTAGCCTAGAGGGAAGCAGAAGGGATGGGATGTGTATTTGTGTAGGCCGGGCCTGTGGAGGTTTTCTCTAGCCATCCTACCCCCCTCACCAGCCATTCTGACCTCTCTGGGCATTTTATCAGTTTCCCCATTGTCCAATCTGAGAGCAGTCTCCAGGGAAGGAGAGTCCAGCCTCATCAGGCTACAGGTTCCACCGCATCACCTAGACCCACTCTCTGGAATGTCAGGAAGTTCTTGATGTCTACACTTCCTGATGTGATCCCTTTATTTTTGAGAGACGGGCAAAAGTGGGCAAAGACTGGGATCAAGGGAGACACTTAGCTGTATAGCCACCTGGGAAGCTCCCCTCTGGGGAGGCCAGGATAAGAACTAGAAATCAGAGTTTGCTGTCCCGGTTAGAAGCCTTGGATGAGCTGCTGCTGTATTTCAGTTTTCCTGCCTATTCCCAAACCTAGCTCCACCCATTCTGGCATCCTGGGAGAGCTCCTCAGACCTCCAACCTTGGGAATCCCTCCCCTCAGCTGCATATTAAAGGGATGAGGCACCTAGGTGCTCAGCCAGTGTCCTTTGCCTTCTGCAGTGGTCCCAGTCGCCAGCCTCCTGCTCCCCCACTGTCATCCTCCTTTTCTATTTTGTTTTATTTTATTATTTTTGAGATGGAGTCTTGCTCTGTCACCCAGGCTGGAGTGCAGTGGCATGGTATCGGCTCACTGCAACCTCCGCCTCCTGGGTTCAAGCAATTCTCCTGCCTCAGCCTCTTGAGTAGCTGGGATTACAGGCATATGCCACTACACCCAGCTAATTTTTGCATTTTTAGTAAAGACAGGGTTTCACCATGTTGGTCAGGCTGGTCTCGAACTCCTGACCTCAGGTGATCCACCCACCTCGGCCTGCCAAAGTGCTGGGATTACAGGCATGAGCCACCTCACCAGGCCCTATTTTTATTTTTGACACAAGGTCTTGCTATGTTGTCGAGGCTGAACTTGAACTCCTCGGCTCAAGTAGTCCTCCCACCTCAGCCTCCCAAGTAGCTGATCTACCACATCCCTCAAACTTTTCCCCTCTGTCAAACCTCCTTCTTGCCTCCATTCCATCTCCTTTCCCTGGCTCAGGAATTTTTTTTTTTTTTTTTTTTTTTTTTGAGATAGGGAGAGCAAGCTCTGTTGCCCAGTCTGGAGTGCAGTGGCATAATCTTGGCTCGCTGCAATTTCTGCCTCCTAAAAGGGCTCAAGTAATCCTCCCACCTCAGCCTCCTGAAGAGCTGGGACTACAGGCACATGCTGTCATACCCAGCTGTTTCAATTTTTTTGTAGAGACAAGGACTCACTGCACTGCCCAGGCTGGTCTCAAACTGCTGGGCTCAAGCAATCTCCCCACTTTGGCCTCCCAAAATGCTGGGAATACAGAAGTGAGCCACTATACCCAGCCTCAGGACTCTTGTAAATCTCAAAATCACCTGGAAGGGTGTTTAAAATGAAGATTCCTGGGTCCAGCCCAGACTCAGAACCTCCCCCATGTGACTGTAACTTAGATATTTACTTTTTATTTTATTTATTGTTTGTTTTTTTAAGAGGGAGTCTCACTCTGTCACTAGGCTGGAGTGCAGCGGCGTGATCTTGGCTCACTGCAATCCCTGCCTCCCAGGTTCGAGTGATTCTTCTGCCTCAGCCTCCCGAGTAGATGGGATTACAGGCACATGCCACCATGCTTGGCTAATTTTTGTATTTTTAGTAGAGACAGGGTTTCCCCTGATGTTGGCCAGGCTGGTCTCAAACTCCTGACCTCGTGATCTGCCCACCTTGGCCTCCCAAAGTGCTGGGATTACAGGCATGAGCCACTGTGCCTGGACTTTATTTTTAATTATTTTTAGACACAGTCTTACTTTGTTGGAGTGGCAGTGACATAATCTCGGCTCACTGCAACCTCCACCTCCCAGGTTCAAGTGATTCTCCTGCCTCAGCCTCCCGAGTAGCTGGGATTACAGGCGCCCACCACCACGCCTGGCTAATTTTTTTTTTTTTTTTTTGAATTTTTGTATTTTTTAGTAGAGACGGGGAGGGAGTTACACCTTGTTGGCCAGGCTGGTCTTGAACTTCTGTCCTCAAGTGATCCTCCTGCCTCAGCCTCCCAAAGTGCTGGGATTACAGGTGTGAGCCACTGCACCCAGCCACCCCCCATGTGATTTTATTTATTTTATTTAATTTTTCTTTTGAGAAAGAGTTTCACTCCCGTTGCCCAGGCTGGAGTGCATTGGCGCCATCTCAGCTCATTGCAACTTCCACCTCCTGAGTTCAAGTGATTCTCCTGTCTCAGCCTCCTGAGTAGCTGGGATTATATATGCCTGCCACCACGCCCAGCTAATTTTTGTATTTTCAGCAGAGGCAGGGTTTCGCCAGTTTGGCCAGGCTGGTCTCTAACTCTGGACCTCAGGTGATCCACCTGCTTCGGCCTCCCAAAGTGCTGGGATTATAGGCGTGAGCCACAGCACTCGCCCACCTCCTATGTGATTTTAAATCCACAGGATCCCACTGTCTGCCCATCCCAGATATGACTGCTGTGAGCTTTGAGGGAGTTTTGTAAATTTTGACAGGCAAGGCTGTTCCACTTTAGAAAAATGGAGTAAAGACAAAGCATCTAGAAAAAGAAAGACTGGAATCTGCTTCTACAGGTTCTGGGAACAGTCTTCCCTCCTGAGTCTTAGTGGAGCCCAGAGCTAGAGTGCACTAGGACCTAGGATGTCGCTACCTTTAATTTTAAGCAAACTTGTCCAACCTGTGGGCCTGCAGGCCACATGCACCCCAGGCCCAACACTAATTCCTCATAAACTTTCTTAAAACATTATAAGATTTGTTTGTGATTTTTTTTTTTAAGTTCATCAGATATCGTTAGTGTTAGTGTATTTGTGTATTTTATGTGTGGCCCAAGACAATTCTTAAAATGTGGCCACCCCGGTCTAAAGGCTGTTGGTTCTTTCTTGACTGTTGCTAATCTGCAGAGCTGCAATAATGGAGCCTCCCAGGAGCCCACCAGGGCCCCACCCCAAACTCACCTCTGATCTCTCTCTGCAGCTCAGGTACCAGACAGTGATGAGCAGTTTGTTCCTGATTTCCATTCAGAAAACCGTGAGTAGAGGTCCCTGGGGAGAGAGTGCAAGGAGTTGGGGGTGGCAGGAAGTGAGTCATAGGATAGAGAATCACAGATCAGCTGTTCTCTCCTGAAAACAGTGGGGGTGAAGGTCAGGGCTCCCCATTCTTGGGTTTGATCTCAAAGACCAAGGTAGTAACTGGAATGAAAACCTTGGCTGAAATCCGGGGCTGCTGTGTTATTGCTGTGTGACCCTCCAGCAGACACTATCTGTTTGGTCCTCCACTGCCTTAGATCTGAAGTGAGGGGCCTGGGCCAGTTCAGCAGAGTCCAGTTCTAGTGTTCTAAGTCGCTTTCATGTAACTGGGGACGATTTTGCTCCCCAGGAGACATTTGGTCATATCTATAGACATTTTTGGTTGTCACAATCGAGGGTGGGGTGCTATTGGCGTCTAGTGAGTAGAGTCAGGGATACTGCCGAAAGCACTGTATGAAGCTCAGGACAGCTCCCCACAATATGTTCATAAAACACTATCTGGCCCACCTGTCAATAGTGCCACTGTTGAGAAACCCTGCTTTAGGCCGGGCACAGTGGCTCACACCTGTAATCCCAGCACTTTGGGACGCCAAGGCAGGTAGACCACAAGGTCAGGAGTTTGAGACCAGCCTGACCAACATGGCAAAACTCCATCTCTACTAAAAATACAAAAATTAGCTGGGCATGGTGGCGTGCGCCTGTAATCCCAGCTACTCAGGAGGCTGAGGCAGGAGAATTGCTTGAACCTGGGAGGCGGAGGTTGCCATGAGCCGAGACTGCGCTACTGCACTCCAGCCTGGGCAGCAGAGAGACACCCCATCTCAAAACAAACGAAAAAAAAAGAAAGCCCACTTTAATGTCAGATACTTTGCTGTCAATTGTCTACACCAGTGAAACAGAACAGGGCACAAAAAATCTAAAACAGCAGAGAATAGTTGATTACAAACAGGGCATTTGACTGGACTGCAGTTAAAACTGAATCTTATTGACACTGGCGTGGAACCAATTCTTTGCTGCTCAGCCTCGTGGCTAGAGTTTGGGAACCCAGCAGGGGCCACAGGAAAGGCCAATATTCTTCACAGATAATGTTATTCAGCTGACATTCAAGTGGGCCAATATCCAGCCTCAACCAGAAAAGGAAGATTCTTTATATCCTCAAATAAGAAAACATGTTGCACCCCTGGAATTTTCCAGGACACTCAGGAAAACTACAGGCCCTAGGTTGGAGGTGCTCACTCCTATGAAAGTGTTTTCTGGGGCCTGGGGTTGCATTAATTTTTTTTTTTTTTTAAACAGAGTCTTGCTCTGTCGCCCAGGGTGGAGTGCAGTGGTGTGATCTTGGCTCACTGCAATCTCTGCCTCTTGGCAGAGATTCCCTTGAGGCAAGCAATTCCCTTTTCTCAGCCTCCTGAGTAGCTGGGACTACAGGTGCCCACCACCATGCCCGGCTAATTTTTCTTTTTTATTTTCAGACAGTTTGACTCTTGTTGCCTAGGCTGGAATGCAATGGCACGAACTCGGTCTACCGCAACCTCCGCCTCCCGGGTTCAGGTGATTCTCCTGCCTCAGCCTCTTGAGTAGCTGGGATTACAGGCACATGCCACCATGCCCAGCATTTTGTTTTTTTAGTAGAGACGGGGTCTCTCCATGTTGGTCAGGCTGGTCTCAAACTCCTGACCTCAGGTGATCTGCCCGCCTTGGTTTCCCAAAGTGCTGGGATTACAGGCGTGAGCCACCAAGCCCAGTTAATTTTTTTAATTTTTTATTTTTAGTAGAGACAGGGTTGCACCATGTTGGCCAGGCCAGTCTTGAACTCCCGACCTCAAGTGATCCACCTGCCTTGGCCTCCCAAAGTGCTGGGATTGCAGGTGTAAGCACTGCGCCCAGCCTAAATGTTGAACTTTAGAGGATTTATTTATTTAATAATCAGACACTAGTCTGATATATAAACTAGATATAATGTAAATAGCCAAAATATTCTTAAATGTCTCACCTTGGATCAGGGAAAACTGATACCCAGAGAGGGAAGGAAGCTGTTGCAGTCACCCAGCTGATCCTCAAAGCACAGAAGGTGTCAGACGCCCTGCCTGTCTCTTGTGTGACAGGCTCTGGCCTTGCTCTGCCCCCTCTACCCCCTCCACCCCCGCAGTAGCTTTCCACAGCCCCACCACCAGGATCAAGAAGGAGCCCCAGAGTCCCCGAACAGACCCGGCCCTGTCCTGCAGCAGGAAGCCGCCACTCCCCTACCACCATGGCGAGCAGTGCCTTTACTCCAGGTGAGCCCCAGCCAGACCCGGTAAAGGGTAGGGGAAGGGTGTCCGGAGAAGGGAGGCAGGGGCGGAGGCAGCAGCTGATTTTTTAGACAAAGGATTTTCCAGCTCCTATAAGGAAGCAATACAACTAAAGATTTCCTCTAAATATTCAGATGGAAAATACAGCAGGGGGCCTCAGGAATACAAACGGAAGCCAGAGCAGAGTCTGTTTCCACCAGCAGGCCCACTGTCCCCCTAAACCACTGCTCTGAGCAACGAATCCCAGGTGTTCGACCAGCCTGGGCAACAGAGGGAGACCGTCCCTGAAAAAAGAAAAGAATTCGCTAGGGCTGACTGTGGCTTCTGCGGTTCCCTTCTCAGCCCCCTCTATCCTTCTGCCATAATCCCGGTGACCTCACTTTCCTAGGAATGAAGGGTTCAAAGATGCTTGCCAGCTTCTCTGCTCCCTCACCCCTCTCTCCTTCTCAACTCCAGTGCCTATGACCCCCCCAGACAAACTGCCATCAAGTCCCCTGCCCCTGGTGCCCCTGGACAGTCGCCCCTGCAGCCCTTTCCCCGGGCAGAGCAACGGAATTTCCTGAGATCCTCTGGCACCTCCCAGCCCCACCCTGGCCATGGGTACCTTGGGGAACATAGGTAAGGAGACAGGGAACCCCCACTGCTTGTGGGCCCAGGTGTCAGTTTTTCTTCAGTTCCTGAGTGTTCTCCATAAAGACTTGAGTTGCGGGGCGGTGGGGGTGGGGGGCGGCAGAGTAGAGAGGGAGAGATGCTGACAATCCAACCCCCTAGACCCCATTCCGGAGCCTACTCTGTAAGCCTGGGAGTAACAGGCTTGAGGAGGGATTAAAGTTCTATTCTCCTCCTTCTCCATCCAACCACATCCAGCTCCGTCTTCCAGCAGCCCCTGGACATTTGCCACAACTTCACATCTCAGGGAGGAGGCCGGGAACCCCTCCCAGCCCCCTACCAACACCAGCTGTCGGAGCCTTGCCCACCCTATCCCCAGCAGAGCTTCAAGCAAGAATACCATGACCCCCTGTATGAACAGGCGGGCCAGCCGACCATGGACCAGGGTGGGGTCAATGGGCACAGGTACCCAGGGGCGGGGGTGGTGATCAAACAGGAGCAGACGGACTTCGCCTACGACTCAGGTAAGAGACTGGGGTGCGGCAGGGTGGCATGTGATCAAGTGAAGAGTTCGGTTAAGCCCAGAATGTCTCCCGAGCTTTTTACATCCCTGTTTACCATTTCGTACATCCAACCCACCCACCCCCCTTTTTTTTTCATAATTTCAAAAGAATTATCATTTTTCTTTCTTTTCTTCTTTTTTCTTTCTTTTTTTTTTTTGAGACGTAAGTCTCATTCTGGGGCTTAGGCTGGGATGCAGTGGTGCCATCTTTGCTCACCGCAACCTCTGCCTCCCAGGTTCAAGCACTTCTTGTGCCTCTGCCTCATGAGTAGCTGGGATTACAGGCATCAGCAACCACGCCCAGCTAATTTTTGTGTTTTTAATAGAGACAAGGTTTCACCATATTGGCCTGTCTGGTCTGGAACTCCTGACCTCATGTGATTTGCCTGCCTCTGCCTTCCAAAGTGCTGAGATTACAGGCATGAGCCACCTCACCCAGCCAAATTGCTACTTTTCTTTCTTTCTTTTTTTTTTTTTTTTTTTTTTTTTTTTTTTTTTTTTTTTTTT